CATCTTGCACTCGCTTAAACAATACTGATATATACATACTTATCCAGTTTACATGTTCTTTTGATAGTCTGTGATTTTCTTTGAATATCTTGCTCGGCTGGTCTTTTCATAAAAGAGGTGTTTGGATACTTTTGGTAAAGCAGTGTATATGGTTATAGCATGTGCAGTTTTCTAAATTGTTTCTTTTAAGATTTAGAAACAACTGGTTTTTTTTCTTTTTTGGATTACCGTATCAATTTAAATAATGCTGAATGTTTTAGGTAATTATTATGTTTTCAATGCACATGAATTTGTTTGATAAGAAATTAGAAGAAAAATAAATTTGGGTCAGTTTCTAAGTTTTTTAATTTTCAAATTACTGAGATTTTAACCATTATTTCTGTAGGCCTCAAATGAAACAATGGAAGTGTGCTGATGAATTTAGATGTAGTACTGACAGTCAAAACAAATTTAGATTATGGGTGCATACATATTTATACACATTGCTTTTGTATTTACACTTAAAATTAGCTAATTTTTAAACTTGTTTACCTAATAAATATAATCTCAGGTTAATTTATGAAATGTTTCACTTGGGTTTGTTACATACATTTAGTTTTTACTATATATTTGTGCAATATGAAAATAATCTCAAACACAATAAATATCTGGATAACTAGAGTTACATGTATTGAAATTGTTCTGTAATAATTTGATACATTTTTCCCCATTAATAAATTCCAAGATAACAACTCGCCTCCATACACAAGTGCTATTTCCACCGTGCATCTGCCTATGAGATTTGCATGCCACTAGCCTTGAGCTAACTCCTACCTAAATTCATGTGTTTAATGTGAACTGTGCTGGTGTATGATGACATCATCATGTGACAAAATTCTTCCACCCATAGGAGAACAACACAACCTTCATGCTTAGTAACTCCCCCTATGCACTTACACTGATGATAACTTATTCTTTGCCTCTGCATTACATCAAACAGATATGTTCAAATTTCTCATCTAGTTTGATGAGATTTTTGTTGATCCACAACATTTTGGTTTTTGCTTTACATTGGCTTTTTTTCAAAAGCATTGGTCATTATCTTGAATTCTCAAATAATGGTGACTTCTACTTAGTCCTGTTTGAGTGATGGCATTAAACACCTAGGCCATTTTTCTACTATGTCTTCTGTAGACTTGCTGACTGTTGGAGATGTTGCACCCTTTGTTCAATGTATCATGGATTACCACATGCTTACTAGGCCTCCAGTTCCCTTCCCCTTTAACACCAAATTTCTTTTTTCCATCATTATGAATGGCCTATTGGACTACAAATGTAACCTGATTTGTTTTGGATAGTGCCTTACCATTTGAGGAATTATATTAACCTTCTAATCTCTTTCTGGATTTCATCCTCAGGTAGGTTCCTTCCTTATCTTTCACCTGTGTCATTTAATATTGCTTGTTCTTCACTCCATGAATGCAGTTCTTGGAATTTACTTGTCTTTCCTCCTTGCTTGTTATTAAGATTTATGTTATTTCCTTTTTCTAACAGCTCTTCACTCGCATCCACATGTCTCATCCCCCTCATATTCTTGACTTCTTGACTCTTTTGTCCTGACTTGCAAGTATTCTTCCTTTCCTTTCTAAATCCTTTGTCTTTGATATTTATTTGGCCTACTTGAGGATTGGACCCCTTGCCTTCTATTTTGCCATCTGGTTCCACATTTTTGCATATTTGTCTTTCACCACCTTCATGTATTCCCTTTCCACCTTTTGTTTGAGGCACTTCATCATGTTTGAGAGGGATTTTCTGAAGGTTCTCTTTGCATGCTTACCCTGTTCCACTTCTTCTGCTCTGTCTTTCCTTACTTAGTTCCCTTGGTGTTTTGTCGAGTTGCATTCCTGTACTATGTACATGGTCTTCATCAGGCTCTGTTTCTTTGCTTGGATGTCTTTTATGGTATTCACTTTTCACTGGAGACCTGGACTGCAGTTGCATGAATTCAATCCTCATTATCTTCCCAGGTTTTTCTTATTTCTCAGACTTGCCCTTTGACCCCTGTTTATCATCTGGATCAAATTTACCTGTACTCTTCCCATTCCAGTTTCCAGGCCTTCCTCTTTTTCTCGTCCTCTCACAACACAATGTTTGATTCCTTGTTTTTCTTTTCTGTGACTGTCCCATCACATTAGGCCCTGTGGGTACCAGCATTTGGTCTCAGTTTCTGCTGACATATGTTTTTCATTTTCCTTTCCATGGTTTTTCTTCCCACTTCTCTTTGCACCTCTTTGCATTTCCTTTTCTTCTCCCTCCAACCCCATCTTCATCTCTTGTCTCAGGCGAGATTAGCCTTCTTCTCTTTGCCTGTGAGCTATGGAGTATCTGGTTATTGGGATTTGTGCTTCTCATTTTCATCCTGTGTAAGGGGGTTATTTTGCTTTTGAGGATTCTAGCTTCCCTGGAACCCCTCATTCCTTTGTGGCATGCACATTCCTTCTCCTCTCCTTGAAAAATTGTCATGGTATCTAGACTGTGCCAATACCACTTCTGGAATTCCCCCGCCATTAACTTCCAAACCGGTTCTATCTCTAATGATGCTTCCCTCTCAGATTGAGATGCATCTCTAGACAACAACATGATTTCTGAAGTTTGGACACAGGATAATCAATCATTCCACATGAACATGCACAGACTTCTCACTGTTTGTTGTGCATGTTCCCATTTCCTGCCCTTTAGTCACAATCCACTCTGACATTTTGATAATCATTTCTTACATCAACCATTAACCTTATATTTATGGGCACTCTTTTCTATGCATGTGATGAGAGTTAACTTAGTTACATTCAAAATTCAATTAAGCAATCTTACAATCAATGTATGCCAATGAAATTAGCATTGTAATTTACATTATAGTTCAAAGTTTTATATTATCTAAGTTTTAATTTATTTATTTCAAGATAAACCTTCAAGAAAAAAGTTTAAACTTCAGTTTTGTTGTTACATGATGCACAAGTTCACAAATTCTTAACTTTTTGTCTCTGTAACTTGAATACTTCTTCACATACACTAAACTTCCATGTATAGACAAAAACTAGGTTAATTACTCTGTTTACACCTTTTCTTTCAAACTTCTCAGGGCACATTCAGAGAAAAGAGATATAAGTTTCTTTGAACTCTTGACAGACATCACACCCACTTTCTACACATAGAGTTGTAATTTCTCAGCCAATTATATTTAGTTGAGCTAGATGTTTATAACCACCAGAAAGAGTACATTTTAAAATACGATCTCCCAATTGTTATTTTAAAATTGGTATGAAGAATTCCATATAGAACTAGTCCAACACCTCTTAGCATTGTTGCTGCTTTTGTCCTTGCTAACACTTTAGCATTGTTTCTCACATAGAAATACATTAGTTAGATAGACATTTGATACTTAAGTATATTTTACTTCTGTGTTATTTATGTTTTAAGATGCATATTTGAAAGGTTTAATCATAGATTCATAAGGGTTAGTGTAATACATGAGTACCACCACATTCTGCTGACAGCTGAAGTTTCTCAACCCATGATACCATAATATTGGCCAAGGACTCCCATTGATGTGTGTTTTGATAAATAATAATGCTTAAGGGCAGGAAAGGAAAATAAATCATTAAAAATAAACTATATGTGAAAATGTAAAGACATGCAATTAAGAAAATAACCCCAAAAAAATGTTTTAAGATTGTTTGATGAAATATTTAAAGGTATCTACCTTTTAACTTATGTCTTAATTTTAAACATTTCATTGTACTATACCATAGTATAAGTTGGTGATATTACCTACTGTTAGTAATTTCGTAGAGAAAGTGAAAAATATAATATAAACATTTACCTTAAAAAATGTTTGATATTCATTTAGGAGGTTGTAGGGGTTATGCAAATGAAATTTGAAAACAATAAGATGAAGAAAAGTATTCTCATGCTCTTGTTGTTTTGTTGGTTACATGATATGCTACTTGGGCATACTACTGTAACCATATGGTTAAGTGGGTACATGTTAAGTGAGCACACATCATTCAGTCTGATTGTGCCCTTACCACATACATATCAGTTTGTCAACCGCTTGTATGCAGGTGATCAGTTGGTTATGATCACATTCTGCCCATCCCTGCAACCCTTTAGGCTCCCTTGTCTTTCCCTCCCTTTCACCTTGGGCAAAGTGTATACCTTGATAAAGATGAGATTTGGTTTCCCATTGTTGTATTTCTATGGAGCCCATGCTGTTGGATGTCACATTCCATGGGCTTCCTTTCAGGCAGTTTATGAAGGGAACTCATGAAGATAAAGTTTTACACTGGCCCCTCAACTGCTTCATTGTGGTATTCTAGTATTTTTGTGTGTGAAGGTGACTTATCTTGGAACTTATCTGATAGATATTCACTTCTGCATACATTGTCACCAAACCTCCCCACTTCTGGTGCACCTTTTTTCTCTTCCTTCATCTAAGAATGAAGCTATCACAAGTGCAAGTGCATAGAAAGAGTTACTGCACATGAAGGTTGTTTCACCCTTCTATTGGTGGAGGACTGTTTTTGCATGATGACTTCATGAAGCACCAGTGCAGTTCACATTAAACACGTGAATTTAGGTGGGAGTTAGCTCAAGGCTAATTGCATGTAAATGTCAAAGGCAGATGCATGTGGGAATTATCATTTCTATGTGAAAAGGGGAGCATCTATTGGAAAATGTTAATGTTACATTATAACCGTAACTCATATTTAATCCAATTTTACTTATATTGTAAAAGTAAGTTATGAGATGTGCATTTACATTCAATAACCACATGCAAGTGCATTCTGTGCACATAGAAGATAGTAACTTTAGCTTAGATGCTTGTTTTATGGAGTTGTATTAAATCATACTAGAATATTTTCTTGTCGTTTCAGTTACTTTTTTGCACTCTAGCTTATATACAATTATATTTTTTCATTTTTTTTCTCTTGGCACTAATTTGTAACTTTTTTCTTTTGTAGTGTCTGTCAGAAGATCAGCAACCTCCTGTCCTTACAGAGAATAAACTAATCCAAAAAAATTACGATAAAGATATTAAAACACCTCCAGATTTAACAGGGAAAAATAAAAATGTGTTAGCTGAAAATTCAAGGCCACAGATAAAGAAAAAAAACTTTAGTCAATATCCCCCTCTTAGAGGTCCACCTAGGCCTGGAGATATTATTGCTTACAAGGTAATGTTTAGACAAACATGAAACAGTAAAGAAAAAGAAAAAAATAGTCAACGTTATGTTGAGAATTTTTTTTTTTTTTTTATTCTATGAATGTCAGTGAACTATAAAAACAAATTATACCATTTTCTAAATAAAGGTTAGACACATTATTTTCAGGTAGGTCTGAAAAGCATAATACTAATTATTGATGTATTGAATTACTGAACCTTTAACTTTTTCATTGCCACATTTATAAAATAAACAACTCTTCCAATGCCAGGTTTATTTTGAGATACACAGTTAAACTGAAGATACTTGTTTTAATATTTTATTTACTTATCCAAAACATGAAACTGGTAAACTTTGGGAAGTTTGAAGAGGACTGCCCTTTCTTTGTGATGGTACAAAATTCCAAACACGTGTAACAGTGCTCTAAAAGGAGATATATGTGTTTATTGCAGTGAAAGAGCTAAATTGGATGATTTAGTTTATAAATTTAGAAAAACTGATACTGATTTATTATGAATAGAAGTTGTCCTTTTGACACATTTTTTTTAATGGAAGTAAAAAAAAAATACCATGGATAGATGTGTTCATTGATTTGTGATTTTTTGGTTTAGGTGGAATGTATTCAGTCTTTGCACAACGGAATTGGATGTGAAAGTGTAAATAAAATAATACACGTGATGATTAATGGTTTTTGTTGTTTTGTATTGTAGAAGTTTTAATTGTACCTACGTGTATTTAACTTTTGAAATAGTAACTTTATATTTCCAATGTACTTTTATGTCAAAATTGCACATAATTAATGATCAATGGTGAGCTGATGAGTTCTGCTATTGAATGAGAGGATTCCTGGACAGTAAATTTTCATATGATATATATATCTGATTCAAAACCAGTAATGGGCTAATTAACAGGAATCTGAGGAAAATATTACAGTGAAGCATGATTTCAATTACTCTTTTTAGGCCTAAAAACTACAATACTTTGCCTGCTTAGAGGAGTTAAACCATCTTATAGAGATATCAATCTTGATAATTGCAATGCTCTCAGATTTTGCTCTTCTGCTACAAAAAACAAAAAATGCTTTGCAAGTATTAATTAGATGCACCTTAAATGTGGCATAGCCTGATCTGCAAGTAAAAAAGATAGTTTAAGTATTTCAGATTATTGAAACTAAACAATAGATTAATTCTGTATTATAATTGACTAGGCTGTGAATTTATGGGAGTTTATTTTTTCTTTAGATCTTGGAGCTTTCTGCGTCATATTGTCCTGAGATTTCAGAATACAAGGCAAGTATGCTTACTTTATCAGAAACTGATAGTTACGTGTGTGTGTGTGTGTGTATAGGTAAATTGTACTATGGTAAAGAGTCACATAAAGTAAAAGGTTGGCTCTAGGTAGGAAAAAAAAAAACTACCAGGAAACAAACAAGTACATTTTCAGTATGTTTAGGGTTCAGAACTTTTAAATCAAGAGGAACCATAATTTACTGTGTTTGGTTTTTTGAACATCTTGTACATTGAGTTTTTAATCTTTGTGCAAGTTATTTTATCCCTGTTTATGCCAGGAGTCTGTTGATTTTTCTTTTAAGATACCAGAAATCAAATAGTTTAGAATAAAAAACAAAACGTTCGGTTTTAGTATTTTGCCTTCAGCAACTTTTACTATTGCAAAAATATTACATTATTTAGTCAATTTTGATAAACTGTTTATCAGGAACATGTTTAGTTATATGAATAAAGTAAATACTGCTATAAAAATGTTTTGTTTTTTTCCAGGAAGCTACTGTTGTTAACTATAATTTTACAAGTGATACAGTTGAAGTTGAATTAGTTGGTGATGAGGTACCAGTAGGTAAGTAATTTACATGGGCTGTTTTGAACTAAGTCAGTCAAATATTTTATGTTTAATTGTTTGAGCAAAAAAAAAACACCCAATGTAAATCTTGAAACACAGTGGAATTGATATACGTTTTTCAAAGAGAAAAATTACTTTTTAGAAAGTCTAAGATCTTAAGAATTGAAATTAAAGAAGAATGTATAACAATATGTCAACCACACTATAGTTGCTATATCCAGTGCTGATGAGGTCATTTACCATGTACTAGGACATATCAGGCAAGGGCCCCCTTAGTGACACAGTGGTAAGTCTATATAACACTAGAAACTGGGCTTCAATACCTGTGAAGGGCACAGCATAGATAGCCCATTGTGCAGCTTTGTAGCTTAACTACAAACAAATCATCAGTCAGGCTGAGATATGAAAGATGCAATAGTGGATTGACTTTATTTACTTACCAAATTGTATGAACAATAACTATAATAGTGTCTATTAGATTCAGTTGGTGAAGTGTAATTAAAGATAAGTTAGTTTTTCACATGTAAAATATATGCTTTTGTCAAAAATTGGTGTCAGTATGATAATCATTATTTAAGAACTTCCAAAACATCGATAATCCTTGTGAAGCTTATTAATTTTGGCAATTTGTATTTTCTGCAAAAAACAATTTATATATATATTTATTTATTTGTTTATATATATTCATATATCCGTTATTTTGCTTTTAAAAAATTTTTGAGTATCAAAGGATTAGAAAATATATTTTGGTGACCGTAATGTTTCTGTTACACGTACATATGAGTATATCATGTCTCAAATTGTAATTCAAATACATTCAAAAGATAAAACATACAGATAAAGATAAATGTCAAAAAACTATAAAGGCATGAGTGGTGTATAACTGTGTATTAGCATTCAAAAAGCATTGGAGATAATCTGTTTCTTCATTTATTCAGTAAAGTGGGTGCAACAACAGATGAACAAATTATTACGTGTCTATGTTCAGGTATTTGAATCCATAATATTCTGAACCTAGCTACACATTCACTATCTAAACCAATTATGGAAGATAGTTGTTCAGTAATAAAATCGAAGAAAGAAGAAAACAACCCAACTACAAGTAAAGCTAAAGATTTTGGAATACACATGGCAGAGAAACAATATAAAAGATACAAAAAGTAAATAAAAGAAAAGGATTATGTTCCCCAACCATACGTAATTAAAAGCAGTCCATCCTCATCCCTTGCAATTGAAATGAAATGTGCCAAATAAAAGGATACCATGTAACTAAACATAGTAAAAAATATTGATTAAAACATTGTAATTTTAAGAAATGTTTTAGCAAATATGGCACACTAAAGTATCCTTCAGTCTTTCCTGTCACATTTTACTTTCTTAGAAAATAATAGATAAATCAACTGAAAACAAAAGTAAGAAAATAATAAGATCAAACTTTAAAACTGAAAGAATTGATTGAAAAAAAATGTTAGACTGGGAGATAAAATCATGTGATAATATGCCCAAACGTTTCTTAAACATGACCATTGCAAGTTAAGGTGACAGAAGGTCAACAGGTTCAAGAGCAGAAAAAAAACTATCTTTACAGGGGAAAATGATGTCTTTAAGGATAGAATTATAAACACATATTTTTTTAATGCAATGTTTTATTTATTAAAAAATAATCTGTAGATTTGGATTATAGTGGGAAAGCTATAACCATTGAAATTGAGTTTTTCAGTTAATTTAACATGGAATAAAAAGTATTCAGATTTATTGCAGGTTGGTATAAGTATTTTCAATTATGAAAGAATTAACCTCCTTAGTTCACAATGTAACAAAAGGTTTCTCACTCAATTGAAATTGACCATTTTCACATACATCCTCTTACTGTTGTTAAAATTACTAGTTTATACAGTGTCAGTGACTTCAATAAGTTAACTGAAAAAGAGGATTACTTTATCTTAAAACATAAAACACTATTCCAGTGGTCTAAACCAAGACTTCCCATATAACACTTCTAACCTTGGTAGATCTAACTGCATCTGCTGTATTTTCCTTGTTGATTTACACAAGCATAAAAGATCAAAGGGAAAAGGTTATAACAAGTGTAAATGGGTTGATTTCAATTAATTTTCTAAAACTTTAGAGATAGCTTTATATTTTCTTAATAACATTACCTCTTTTTCATTAATACTTTTTTGAGTAAATATTGATAAGATTAGTCTTATCCAAACAAAGATATGATACCCTGTATATTAAATTGTTTTTTAACATCATGAAAGTCTCATCCAAACAGTTATTTCTTTTTAATATCAGTAATACACATGCAAAGATATAATTATTGACCTCATCAAACTTAAACTTTGTTTAGAATCATTTTTGACTTCTGATTTTCTTGATATACAGAAGAAAGAAAAAATCCTTCATAGTAACTGAGTTCAAGCATAAAATAGTAAGTGATCTGTCTTTACTATCCTTAGTTCATGGGATTATTACTGATAATTCTTTACTGGTTAAAAACCTTCACTCAGCTCAGAGTAATAAGCACAATGCACCAATTAGTCCTTTAAATATCAATTATAAGGCTTGTCCATACCTTAAATCCTGCTGACATTGATGCTTTGCCATGTTGTTGTTTTGATAATAGTTGGACCGATGCTTATCATCAACATTTCATTACAGATATCCTTAGAATTCTTGATGATGATGAATTCATAAAAATTCTAGAAAAACTAGAAAAAGGCTCTGAATTTAGATTTCCTAGAAGTACAAAGAAATTTACTATTCTAAAATTGTGTGAAAGAAATATTATGAGTATATTCCGAAAATCAGTAAAAAAAAACTTTTTACTCACCAAGGTACTTTTATGAATGATAAAATCTGTTTCTCGTGTTTATTAAAAATAAACTTGATGCCTTAGATATTTCTATCCACAAACTTGACATTCTGTATCACATATTGAAACAAACAATTTCACTAGCTCAAAAACTTGTGACAACCCTTGTAAGTAAAGCTGGATGCAATTTTTCAGTCATCTTTAAAAAGTCTAATGCACTTTCTATCTTAAAAGAAAGTCAGCAGTAACACCACTTTGCTATAAGAAAAAATCAATACTAATTCTATTTTAAAGAATTTATATAAACATATTAAAATATGGTAAGTTTCCTTTGAGCACAACTGTTGAAATCTACCTTTTCTTTGTGCTATTTTGAAATTGCATAAAACCCCTATTAAATTCAGATTTATTACCAGTTCTATAAAAACTGTTATCAAGCCACTTGGTTTGTTCTTTTATCAATTCTTAAATATTTTAGCTGGTAATATTAAAATCAATAAAGGTTAATAGGTAATTATCAATATTAACAAGACACTAGACTGCCTTATCTCCTCAAACCTGAGTAGAAGCTCACAGCATCTAGCTAAAAATTCTAATTTATCCATCAGCATTTGATAACATTTATGTCTCTTTGGCTGAAAACTAATCCAAACTATGTTGTTATTCCACAGAATTAAGAAAATTGAAAGTTTATATGGTATGGTGATATTTATTAAGAAATCATGAAAATAATTGTGGCAGAATGCACAGAAAGTTATGGGTTTAAAAAGTTAAGGACTGACACATTATTGACAACTTTCTAAATATGTCTTGATTTTACTACTTTTTTCATTAAACTATCCATGACAGATCATATTAAAGTCTTAAATCTTCATTTTGATTGTTATTTGAATGATTCTTTAAAATTACCCATCAGATTTTAACTGAAGAAATTTACAAAAATGTTTTCATTGACCATATATTTAATAATTACATTGAAGTTAACCATAATATTTATAAACAACAAATAGGAATACTATTGGGTCTCAACTACTCGTCAAGTGAGACTAACGTATAAAATCTTTATTATGAGCATTTATTCTTCTCATAATCACTAAATCTGGATCAGTATTTCTTTAGTTTTCATTACAAAGATGATCTTAATTCTTTGAACTGATTGTCTCCTCTATTTACCCTGTCCCCCGGTGGGACAGCGGTAAGACTTTGGATTTACAATGCTAAAATCAGGGGGTCAATTCCCCTTGGTGGACTCAGCAGATAGCCCGATGTAGCTTTGCTATAACAAAACACAGACACTATTTACCCTATGAAACTGGAATTGGATATGTCAACTGAAGCAACAACAACTTGTAATTTTCTTGACCTAAATATCTCATTTATTAATGGCAGTTTGAATTTAAACATTTATGGTGAGAAAAACAAAAAAAGTGCATGTTCTTTCTTCTGTGATAGTGTAATTTTAAACCTCGATTAAAAGTGTTATTATTACACCACTGAAAAGATTTATGCTAGTTTGTAACAAATCTGAATTCATTTTATTCCATGTTATTAACTTAAAATCTCAAGTTTAATAGTTGTGGCTTTTCAATTGTAATCAAAATCTTCAGCTTATTTTCCAATATGTATATATAACATTGTACTAAATAAATATGTTTGTAATTCTATTCTAAAAGATATGATTTTCACCTGCAAAGATAGTTCTATCTTCTCTTGAACTTGTGTTGACATTCTTTTACCTTCATTGGTATTAGTCATGGTGAAGGACAGTTTGGTCATGGTTTTTTTCAGTTAATTTTTGCGGGTTTTATAGTCTTAAGAACAGATATGATCTTATTCTTTTCTCATTTGTTTTACTTTCTAATGCAAGTAAAATGGAACAGGAAAAACCAACTTTTAGGTTGATACTGGAATGATACTTCAATCTGCCCATATTTGCTAAAGCTTTTCTTAAATGTACAATGTTTTTAATTACTTTTTTTAATATGCTTAATTACATGGTGTCCTTTTCTTTGGTGCCTTTCTTTTCACTTCACATTCAAGGGAGGTGGATAAGCTACTTTTGATTATGTATGGCTGAGGAATATAATTCTTTATTTTTTTTATTTTGGTTCAATTATTTTTTCTATCTTTTATATTATTTTTCTGTTTCTGAAATCTTTAGGTTTACATGTGGTTGGGTTGTTTGTCCTTCCTTTGATTTTATCATTAGAGAACTACTTTTCGTAATTGGCTGCAGACAGAGAATGTGTAGTTAGGTTCAGGACATTATGGGTTTAAGCACCTGAACCTGGTTCTCTAATAATGTTCATCTGTTGTTTCACAGCATATTCTTACCTGCATTGTTGTATAATTGAAGAGACAGCCTATCCTCTTGCTTTTTGAATGCTATTATGCAATTATACACCACTCGTGACTATATAGGTTTTTGATATTTATTTTTATTTCTTTATGTTTTGTCTTTGCACATATTTGGATTACATTTCAAGATGTGCAACTTTTGCCTACTTACACATCACGATGTTCAGCACATATATATCATTCTTATATACACACATTTGTATATTTACTTCTTGTCAGTTGGAATTGGGAAGTTTGATTTGCCTGTAGAAAATGAGGATGAGGAAACAACAGTATGGAAAAATAATAAAGTGAGTAATTTTTTCAAAGTTATATGTAGTTATTTAACAAATTAAAGAATTCTATAAATGTAAAAATAGATGAGACACTGAATCAACATTAAGACTTTTCATTCAGATATGTAGTATTTTCCCCCTAAATAAACCTATATGTATTTATTATAGTATTGTAGTTTTTTAATCTTACTTAATCTTGTATGGTCATATTATAGCCTTAAAGTTTAAAGAGTGTAATAAGCTTGTTTTATTTTTACTGTTTTGATACTGATTCTTTGATAGTGTTACCAGACATCTCAGTTTTACGTGATAGTCCCCTTTTTTTGGTAGTTTGTCCCATGTCCAGAGAAAAGTTCTCAGGAAGTACAAAACATCCTGGTTCTATGATAAAGACACCAAACTCTCAGTTACATCAAGTCACAAATGTGATAGGCCTACTTGACTTGCTTGTTGTTGTAACACGTACTCTTCTGCCACAAGACTCTCTCAAAAGTTTTGTCTGTGTATGGTGAGAAACCCATGTCTGTGAAGACTCTCTAGTTAGTAGTACTGTAGTAGGACTAGAGCAGTTGGGGAATGTTTGGTGGATGGTTAAACATCAGGGACTGTTCTCTAAGATATTTTTATTATTGAAAATGTTTAACCGTTCATATTGTAAAATGATGGAAAATGTGTGTTTTTTAAATACTTTTTTTTTAAGGCAAATCAGTTGGATAACAAAGTTGGGTGCACTATTTGCAAAGCTGTGTTGTTGATAGCACACAGTGGCAAATCAGACATTACATATCACACTGCCAAGAAAAAGCACAAGGACCATTTTGAAATTAGGTGGAAGGGCTGGCCTGTCCTGGTTTTTCAGTTTGGAAATCTGTTCACCCTATTCTTTGCACTATTTTCCTGAGTGTTTTTGTTCAACAACTTGGTGCATTGTTATAAACCATATTTCAAAATAGTATATTAAAATTGTAATGCTTTTGGCTGCAATATAACATTTTAACAGCATTTACCTATGTCTTGCTAACACAGGTCCCTAACCCACAGGGCAGAAGGGACACGTGACCCCCACCCTCCCCCTGCTTTGATTATAAATTTACCATAATAACATATTGAACATTATGCTTGAATGCCTGCTGCCTAATTTTATGGGCTTACAGCTACAAAAACCATTACTTTAGATCAAACAATAGAACTTGGGATTCTCAACTTTTTATCAAAACTACTTTGGCTTTGCTATACTTGGTAGTTTTATTTTTTTGCCATCTCATACTCAAAGTTGGACAACCAAGCTTAGTATTACTTTAGGGTGATTATTTGAATATTTCATCGCTATAACTTTCTTATAAATTTATTTATTCTTTTGCTTTCATTTTTACTTAAGAAAGATTAATAGATGATTTTTTTATTGGACCTTGACCAGCCTTTTCCCACACCCACGTATATCCATTCAGAGTAAATTGATTGAATTGAGATTTATAGGTCTGTACATTATCTGCTGGGCTCATATGTTTTATTTGGGCTTCTGTAAGCAGGATTCTTTGTTGAGTCTGATCCTTGTAACCTAGTTTATGCAGAAGACGTTGAGCTAATCAATGACTCATGTTGGCGGCACTGGCAATATCTACAAGTCTGCTGTGGATTGGACATTCATTTGTTGATAAATTTCTAGAATGGTTGTTAGCAGCTCTAACTTATGACTCATAAAACTGAAAAATGATGTTATGCACAGTTCTGTTTGTATGTCCAAGCTTTCTCTCTTCTCGTTCTAATTTCAGTCTGCATACCCAATTACACGACTGTGTGTACATACTGATGTATTAAACATCAGCTGTCCATGGCATCTTTTTACAGTTGTTTGTCTGTTGCCTCTGACACGTAACATTTATGGCCTACATTCCTGGCATTTTGGGTAAAATGGCTATCTTCATTATTTTCAGGGGTGCTAATTTAGTTATGACAAGAGTTCTGTATATTCCTGATGATGACTTGAACAGTGTTATATAAACATTTTTGGAGGTGTGGCTTGTACTTGGTGTGTGTCAATATAAAACAATTCCCTTCAAATATGTATGGAACTTCCTCCTTAAAATGAAACATTAGAATACATTATTTATGAAGGATTCCTACACATTACAGCAAAACATAAAATAAGTATCTTACCAAATGTTAGCTCCATTCTAATGAACCATCATCTTACTATCATATTGAACAACAGCAATAACAAAAGTAATTTTGCTAAGACAATTCTTATTAGACATTATATGAAAATTATAAATGAATTTTAACATAATCACAAACATCTACTTTTGATTTTTGAGATTTTTTTTTCAAACTAGCTAATCCAGTCCTCTAAGAAAAATAATACAAAACTTTGTAATAGTAATTTGGTGTGATGTTGTACCAAACCTTTATTTTTTTCAGGTTGAAGTTGCCTGGACATCAATGATTGAACCTCGGCTCCTTTCATCGTAAGTAAAGGCAACATGTACCTCCATGAGAAATTCCTGAAATGAAGAAATTGGAATCATGACATTGCACAAGAATTTAGAAGAAAGTGTGATCTATGTTTAAAAAAAAAATAAGGAATTTGTACTGAATCAGTTTTATCTGACCAGGTTTAAAAGTGAGCATGTATTTTTAACATAGCTCAAACCTTTTGCCCAAGCATTGTCTTTTGTTTTCATACTGTCAAGTGACTCCTTGTAATACACAACAATAAACTTTGTATAAAAGTTGAGTTTTTAGTACATTTCTATCAGTAGTTAAACTGTATTCTCATACACTTTCTTTTTGATAACTGCTGAATAGAATATTAAATTATGTCATTGGTCCTTAGTAGTTCTCTGTTTTACAATGTAATCTGAGACATTTGATTACTTAGGTTTGAAAACATTTAATATGTAGTGATTTACATATTCTTGTATTAAACAAGATCTTCAATCCATAATTTTCATTGGTAATTGATAAATGAGATCTTAAGCATTTTAATTAACTGATAAGGTTATAAAATACTTGAATATGGTAATTTTTGGAAAAATAGAAAAATTCTACATTCACAAATACATAATATCATGAAAGTAATTTCTCTGTTTGAGGGAAGAGGTATTGTACATGTGTGTTGTTTAGGCCTTGAAATGCTTCTATAGATAGCTTTTAGAAAGTGGAGAATAATAATATACGTAGAAGTGTTATTTTAATTTATTTTCAAGCCTGAGGACCAAATAACTAATTTCTTTTAACCTTATATATATATATATATATATATATATATCTCCATGTATTACTATAATAAAAAAAATTAGCCCTTTGAAACTGTCCAATATTTGGATTTGTATATGTTTGAAAATAATTTGTATTCATATACAATCTAAATACATGTTAGATATGTTGAATCACATTATATCAGCTTATACGTATAAAAGAAATAAATAATAAACTCTTTTGACACTGTGTTAATTAATGTAGAATGAAAAATTATATTAATATCAAGCTTTGATTAAGTTAAGATTTAAGTAAAAATTATATATAAAAATTAAGCAGTATTATTTGATTAATTTTTTTCACTTTATAACTAGTAGCTATAAACATGTATCATGGATTCTTTTCAGACATTTTATCTCAAGTAATTCATCCAGTAGCAATCTTGTTTGATGTATATTATCTTCAAATGAAAAAATCTTACTTTCTTTTGCAAGTGAATTCTTTCGTAAACTAGTTTTTCATGGCATTGTATAACTATGGAAAACAATAACATACAAAATTCACTTTTACAATTAAAAAATTACAGATATTGAATATACATGATATTAAAATGATCTTGGAGCTTGTACCACATCTTTACAGTCCTTATCACCATATCCAGTCATGCTCTACCTAATGGCCGTACATCTAGGCAAGAGCCCTGTAGTTTAGTTTCCATTGCAAAAGGCTCTGTCATAGGGTCTTTATGTCTAAAGCACATCCTTCCTTCCTGCATGGTTTCCATAAACTATCTAGTGTACAAGAATGATGGTTCCCCAGAACGTGTATCAACAATCTGATCACACAGAAATCCATAGGCACTGCATCTAGCAACTTGACTGGTATGTCTTTGTATGTCATTCTCTAGCTGCTTGAGATGTGTGATGTTTGAACAAACATGGGAAGCAGTGTGTATACACATGACTTATGTTGCATTTCCTTATAGAGATCCTTCTGAATTATGTTGCATACTGTTTCCTGTAGCATGTAGATGGCTTTGGCTACTGACCTCTGTGTTCATCGATCCTAACCTGTTATAAGAACCGACACTTAACTAACCATGGTTGGAGTATGATTTATTTCAGGTCTCTTTCTGGATGGTTTTGGAATCCCAAATTGGTCCATATTTTTTGTTTTCCAATGCTATTAAGTACAAGGGATATTCCCAACTTGGAAATTATAAATCTGAGTGAATGAATATTTTATGTTGGAAAGTTTATTACATACATGCTTTTGGCCGCATCATAGTCCATATGAACATCAAACAGTCAAGATGTAGTTCTAATACATTAGCTCCACTGCTGCTGTTGTCACATGACTTGGTGCTTTGTATGTTCAAAATCATATAATATGACATACTTAAAACTTAAACCTCTGGGTGAATTGTGAAATTAAGTGTTGAGCTTAATTATATTATCATAAGTGAAAGTTATGCATGTTGTGATAACTGTTTTAAAATATACTTAAAAAGTTTCGAGGTGTGGAAGAATTTGTTGCAATCTGAAAAACTTGTCAAGCAACTAAGGCTGATTAGAAAAAAAAAATAACTGAAGTAGAATCTGATAAGTTACAGTTTAAAAGCTGAAAGATTATGAAGCATTGAAACCAAGTAGACAGCTTAGGTGTTTTTTTTTTATATCACAAATATTATTCCTATTGAAGTAGTGTATTGAATTTTTAAGTACCCTGCATACTTTAACATGAGAATCCCAAAAGATATACAGGAATGAAATACAAGCTTATTCATCAACTATTATTTATAATTAAGCCAGTAGTCTATAGTCAATCCATGTGCTTCAACAATATTGTCAATGTCAAGGAATATCCTTTATTCCATCATTTCTAAGCTTCAGAAAGTTCTTCCCGGTGTTAAATTCATGACTTTTGAAAAGCTGTTTAGTTGTTTTGTTATAGGTCAGCTTATATGGATTTATAACAGTTTCACAGAATTACACATTACTACAAGGCAGGAAGATGTGTGCTGTAGTATGCATGATATTCAATTTATGGTATTTATTGTGCTGTGAAATGTAATGCATATAGAAATTATGCTTTTAAAAGGATTTTTTAAACTGCTGACCATAGAAGTGAATGACAAGAAACTTGTAGGTTATTACTTGGTAAAACTTAAAAGAACACTGAAAGAAATGTTGAAATTGTTTTCTTTCAAAGTGAAACTTGAACATTAAGCTGTTGAACACTTTTCATCCTTGAAAGAAAATTGAAGAATGTTAATGTGACAAAATCTACAATATGTCATTGTAAAATACCACAAAAATTAGGAATTATTAATCTTTTATATCTTCGTGGCTGACGGTCTTCTTCAGAGAAATTTAACTCAGACTTTAGGCACAAGCTGTATATATATATATATATATATATATACCTGTATGTGATATCAAGTGTATTATTTGAAGTACCGTTTATGGATTGTACATCTGTTTAATAAGGTGTACAGTCTAGGAATAAAATTAAATAAACATGGTTTCACATGAGTTATGTAGCACATATGTGAAAGTAACATACAAAAACTTTAAGCAGCTTACAGCCATGGTGTTTCAGTAAATTCTCCTGAAGAATATCTTCTAGTCTTCGAAATGTGAAGGAAACTTTTTAGTAATTGATTTCCATTCAAAATGTATTATGATTTAACTGAATTTTATCATGAAATGTATTATTAAAAATTATAATGTTTTATATCATTTAACAAATATTGGCAAATTATTTTTTTTCACCAGAAATATTAGTACATACAAGTAAGATAATTGTACATGTGACTATAACAAAATCTTTGGGATGAAAATTAATCATTAAATGGAAAGTTTCAGCCCAAAACTAATGGGAGTTTTATTTAAAATGTAGGCCCTATTTGGCTCATTTATTCTGAATTTGGAACACAGATATACATACTTCTAAATATGGAAGTTTATTGAATTTAAGTTAATTTTTTCTTTCATAAAGTTACAATCTTTTTAATATTAAGTGAGATGATAAAAGCTTGTCACAAACAAGCTGTAAGATAAGAAAGTTATTTTAATGCAGTTTACACTATTACTACCAGAGATGCCACATAAGGAACGTTAATAGGTGTGGAGCATGTATGTTCAAAACTGTTGGTATACACTAAGTACGAATTTATAAACTGCTTATTGAAAGGTGAAGCTGAAGTTAACAGGGGTGCTATGCATTATGATGTTACATACTTTATCTAAGACATACCCTAATAAACGCGTATAGGTTCGACAGAGTTGTTGCTTGAATTAATGAACAAAATGATACTCTTCATATGTATTCAATGACCATAAACACACATTTATTTATACTTGTAAAATCAAATATCAAATGCATTGTTGTACTTTAGTTTTACTATTACTTGTTTATATAGTTACTACTAGTACTTACTGAATTCTATCTTATTATGAGTGTTTCTCTTAAAATCAATATTTAAGTTCCCTTAACTCGGAGACCTAAACTTCCCACTGTTACAGTCCAAGTTGGCACATTTATCATCACACAGGAAGTACCAGTAATTTTTTATAGATACCATAGCATTACTTGTTATACAATCATTAGGCTGATAAAATAGCTTTATTTATAAGTTTCCAAATTTAACTATGGTGCACAAAACATTGGTTTACAGTAGTTTATTTAATAATTTGGAACTAGTTAGGGACATGTACAATTAATTATTGATACATTAGAAATGAATAATATTTGATATCTTGTAGCTTTTAATGTTTTTTTCAAAATAATATGTGAAGGTAACTAAAAGTCCTACAATAGCATAGTGGCTTTAATTGAAATAGTTAAGCAGTCTCACCTCAAACAGTTCTTATAATTTCACTCTCACTTTAGTAGTTAGACCCAATTTTTTCATAAGTTATGTAAAAAAACATTATTAAATATTACTACATGCTTATATTATTTTATGGTTTAATTTTAAATTTCATCCAAATTCAACCTCTGTGTTTAATGTATCTTTCCTTAAATGTAATATTTTACTTTCAAGTAATGCAGTTTAGCAGTAATATTTGTGTTTAATGTAGCTTTCCTTGAATGTAATATGTTACTCTCAAGTAATGCAGTTTAGCAGTAATATTATTATTAGTTTAACTGGCTAGAGGATTACTCATTTTTTTATTTTATGGTACATTTTAACTTCTCTTTTCTAACTTAAAGTGTGATCTTGGATTTTATATGAAGTTTCCTGCTAATTGTATAGTTCTAGAATAAACTTTTTGTACAGTATAATACCCCTGGTTAAACAGATATTTTTTTATAATATCATTATATTGTTGCGTCATCGAGGTCACGTGACTGGTGTGGCGCCCTCTAGGTTCTAGAACTATCTTGTTCTTTCAGGAATGCTCTAGTATTTACTAGATTGGGGTAGGCTGGTATATATAAGAGGGGGACAACGTGACGAGGGTAATGTAATGCGTGTGAGTAGATAGTGAGTAATTGAACTGCAGTCACAGGGTATTGTTGAAGTTAACG